GCACGAGCCCCTAGCGATCTGAGCCGCTCCCAGCCCGCGCGGGTTTTGCCTGCAGTGTAGAGCTCACTCGGCCTGGAGCTACTGGCCTTGGAGAGGTTGGCGCTGGCGGGGCGCGGCACTCTCGGACACGTGGGTGGCGCTGGGCTCTAGACTCGGTGGTGACGGACCCCGCCCGCGGTGGGCACCCCTGGCTAAGGAGGAAGAGCCTGCCTCAGCCGCTGGCAGCGGGTGCTCTGGGTCTCGGGAGGAGCCCCTGAAGATGAGCTGCGGGGTGAACGGGGTGACGAGGAACCTGGCACCGTTACCAGTTTACTTAGCCAGCGGCTCTTGAGCCTCGAAGCCCTATCTGAGGGCGGAGGGGGGACAGGATGCCAAGAGGGGCAGGGAGGTGAGAGCAAGTGTTGGGGACGAGGAGGTGCAGGGGACCGGGGTGCACAGTGTGGTTCCCCGCAAGGCCTGCAAATGGGAGTCCCCAGTTCCCCCATCTTGGGGAGGAGCCCAGACGTTGCGGGAGAATTGCCAGGGATTACCAAACAAAGGGAGGAAGCCAAAGGGGCAGCGGAGAAGCTGGTGACTGAAACCCAGAGGGGAACGCACAACGCGGGAGGCAGGAGGAGCGCGGAGAAGGTAAATAGAAAGGTAGAAAGGCTGGTGGGAAAGGAGGAGCCAAAAAGGAATGGAGGAACACGGAGCTGAGTCCAAGTAAACCAAGCCAGGGAAAGCGAGTTGCCCTTGCCCATGATCCTGGATTAGGAGTGTGTGTGGAGAGGTGAGTGGGCCTGATTTCTCTGTGGCTTGCTTACTCTGGGCCTTTAGGAAACTGACAGTACCCCATTCAGATTTTCCATAAGTGTGAATAATAGTGTCATCATAATAAGCAGTTAGCATGGTCAATATACTTCATTTTACACAATGCCTTATATCAAGAGTTTTAATAATCCTGATAGAGCAAGCAAGCTTCAGTCTCAGAAACCACAATCCCATCCTTCCACACTATAGGTCACAACCATTTTTATAGGGGTGGAAATAGATACAAGAAATGTGTACCACTCCAGCAATTACAAGTAGCAGACTTGTGTCTGAAACTGAGACATTCCTATTCTAAATTCCTTATCTTTGCCCCAATACATTACACTACAAAGGAATGACCAACCTGAGTTTTTGGTTCCTAGTTTACCATTTTAGGTTCCCTCTCTAGAACAACTACACATCCCCCCATTCACTTAGGAAACAATGCCTGAATCGGAACCACTGCCAGGAGGTTGATGTGGATGCTGGGCCCTGTCCTAGACTCCGAGTCAAAACTCTGGAGTTGGGGGTTCAGAAATCCGTATTTTACATAAGCTCTCTACTTACTCCTGTTGTGTATTTAGAGTAATTTCTGTAGGGTGTTAACATACTAAATTTTATAGGAATTCAACCAGTGTGTAAATGATAAAGGGAAATTAGCCTTTTTGGTCCAGAACTTTACCAAAAGCTGTTCACCATTTTGGAAAATAACATCAATGGCCATGTGGCACATGGTATTCGGTTGTCAATCCAACACATCTGTATTACAACTGCCGCATTTGTGGTGAGTCTACCTACATGAGCAAGCATCTGAGTACTACAATGTCATACAGTTAATCATACCAGAGTATTTCTATGCTGAAATGCATGCATATGGCTTAATTATAACCACTTTCCTTTTCTTTCTCCTTTACGTTACTGTTAAGAAATTATATTGATTTTAAAAATGTGTGCAATAGTTTAAAAACTTACCTATGAATTTCAAGATAGCAACATGAATATTATAAAAAGGGGGATGTTGGGTATGAACAGGATTGAGAACCACTGCTCTAGATGATTAAAAGCACACTAAAGTTTAGTAATACTGGTATAACCCTAAATTTTAGTTACTTAAATACAATCTTATTAGGTTCTGGGGCCAAAGTATTTTCCAGTAGAAAATGTCATATTATACTTTCGACTTTATAATGGAAGACACTGGGAAAACCAGACTCCCTTACCAGTCTTGCTGGACCGCAGCTACTGTTATCTTGGTACCACAAGCTGACCTGCTCGGAAGGAGTCTTCTGCAGCTGCTGGGATTTTCCAGCACTGTGATGAGTAGGTCCTCTCACACTATCAGGAGTGAAATAGAGGGGCAGAAGAGGGGTCAGCACTCTATCAGATATGGGGGTGGAAGGGCCTTTATTGGCCCACTAAGGTGACCCTGGGACTGTGCTCTGCCCTTTGGACATGTTACCTCCACTAAGGTGCTCATTATCCTCATTCTACAGACTAGAACACTGAGTCAAGGGAGGCCAAGAATCCGATTTGACACAGCTAGTAGGTGGGCTGTGGTCTAGATGACTTCAAGGGCTATTCTTCCCGGAGCAAAATGCTGGCCATAGGAAACTTTTAAAAACCATAACTGATTAGTTTTTTCTTTAGATTACAAAAATATAAGCTGCTTGTAGAACCTCCCTCCATCTCACCTGTAATAATGCAGAAAATGAGTATAAGCAAGCAAAAGTCACCCCAAATCCCACACTCAAAGAAAATTGTTAATATTTTGAGAAGATCTTTCCAGACATTTCTCTGTACAGCCCAGAAAATGTTACATACGTATATTATTTAAAATATAAGTGAGGTGCTGGAAATGTTTTTGAACCCTACTCATCCAATCTAAAATGCACATATTTCTTTCTTTTGCCAGTAAAGATCATTCCCATTTTTAACAACCAGGATTCCATTATATACAACAATAACATATTTATCCTATGCCCTAATAAACAATTCTTTTATATTTTTATATTTTAAGCAAAGTACTTTATATATGTTTATAATTTGTTTGCTGCATTATGAAAATATTCAATTGTTTTAAAGAACAGGAAAACCAAGAAAGGTACATGAAACTCATGTGAGAAAGAATTCTTAAGATGTGTTAAGTTCAGACAGTATATCGTAACACATGATAAAGACAGAATGGAATTTATGTAAAGAGGACGATGGAATGAACGAGAGTGTTACTAACAGAAAAAGATGGAAAGAACAAATTGTAAGGTAAAAGTGATGCCACCTTCAGGCGGACAGCTACGTCATCCCTAAAGTGCCAGTCATTGTAGACACCCATTCTGGCCCGTGTATGTTCTGCCCCAGAAACACAGATGAAAACACATGGCCCTCGGGAGGTGGCTGCCCAGGCACACTTGCCCCTGCACATCCTGACAGAGCAAGCATGTGTTGCCTCCAGGCATCTTCCATCTGCTCAGCCCCCCTTTTCAACTTTAGCTGTGGTTCACATAACCACACTATCAGAAGGGAAGTTTGGTGCAGCAGAAAGGACATGACACTGCGTAACACTGGACTCAGGTAACGTGGGCCTCTCACCTCCCCGACACCCTATCTTAAATGTCTTAACTGTCACTGTTCTTTCCAACTGACTTCTGCCTAAAAGTGAGTCAATAAACCAAGTGACTGGAGCACTTTACTTTGAGATGTCAAGTTTCCTGTCTATGACATCTGGGATAGCCTGCCTGATAGTTTATTTGGAGGTTATCATTGTGTGAAGATAACTTCCTACACAATACCATACACGCATCTTTGCACAGATGTGCAAGTATTTCCATAGAAATAAATCCTAGAACAACCAGTTCCAAAGAGTAAGAAAATTTTAAATGTTGATATATTTTGCTATACTGTTCTCTGGAAGTTATTCCAATGTACACTCATTAATAGTGCACAAAAATGCATGTTTTCCCATATCCTTGCCCAAGCCAGCCACTACTGATCTTCAAATATCTTCAGATAGGTGAAGGATATCTCCCCTACACCATTTGTTTACTAGTAGGGCTGCTGGAACACCTTTCCACAAATTGAATTAAACCTTTTGCGTATCGCTTTTGCTTGCCTTTTTTTCCTTCTGTTGAAATAACTTTCTAGGCCCAAGGTGGAGCTGCTCCTGCCCAGAGTGCCAGGTCAGCAAACTGAAACTTAGACAACTCTGTGTCCCTAAAAATGTTCTGCTTGACCAGACACGCAGTATAACCAGCCAGCCAATTGTCCAACGCCAAGCCAACTCTGGGCTCTATACTACTTACTTGTTCCTTCTCACCCCAAACAAGGTTGACTGTGTGACCCAGATAATCAGATACTCTTTATCCTAGAAAAGCTTCCTGCCTTCTGCCCCATTTTCCAGTTCTCTGGAGCCTGTCCCGTTTTTATCCCCGAAATTGTCGTCTTTAATAATTTTTAATGCTTATTCCAAGATCTTTCTTCATAGGGGTTTTTAGCATTTTGCCTATAATATAAAAGCAAACATCTTCCCCAGTTAGTAATTTATTTTAGTTTTATAATGTTCTATAAATATTTTGAATTTTTACATAGGCAAATCTATGTATTGATACTTTTATATTTTCTGGCTTTTCATCATGCTTAGAAAGGCCTTCCCCACCCAAGATTAGTTTCTCCTAGCATTTTTATGTTTACATTTTTTTAAAGTTTGGAATTATGTTGATATATGGAGTGAGGCTGGTATGCATAATGTTTTTCCAGATGGCTAAGTAGTTGTCCCAACAGGTATTGAATAATTCACCTTTACCACGCTGATAGTCTAAGTGCTGCCTTAGGTGATTTCTTTAGTAAAAATTTGTTAAGGTAATCTTTCAGCCTTTGCTTAGTAATTTTTTTCCTAATCAGTTAAGTGCACATACCCACCAAAAACACAGGTACAAGAATACTTACTGCAGCTTTATGTGTAATAGGCAAAAATTGGAAAGAACTCAAATGCCATCAACAAGTGAATGGATAAATGAATTATGACATGTTAACACAATGGAACAGTCAACAGCAATAAAGAAATGGACCCACCAATACATGCAAACACCCGAATGAATCACATATACTATGCTGATGAAAGGAGCTAAGCATGAAGCAACACATGATCCCATTCACATGAATTCTAGAACAAGCAAAACTAATTGATATTTAAGAGAAGAGTGGATATTTCTGGGGGAGGTATAGACTGCGAAAGGGTGCCAGGGAATCAGAAACTTTTTGTTCTTTCATCTGAGTGTGTACATTTTGATCTGAGTGTATACATATGTGAAAAACCATCACGTACACTTATGATTAGTGTACTTTATGTATTTCACTGTAGGTATGTTATTCCTTACTTTAAAAAAAGGCAGATGGACAAATTGGTCTGGCATGGTTTACTCAATAGATATGATGACAAAGAAAAACACATCACCACACAATCATTTGCAATTAAGTCAAATTTATTCTGAGAATATGTAATAGTAATATAAACAAAGTATAGGAAAAAACCTCAACCATAACTCATAGGAAAAAAATCTAAAGTGTTATGTAGTAATATATTATGGATTTGTCACTGGATATAACTATCTTGATAGCAAAAATAGTATGGAAGATGTAAAACTATGGAATTTCAAAATATTATTTTTAAAGAAGTCGATAATTCGTTATGCTTTTGAGCCTACAAAGGTAAAATTTAAATGAAAGGTTGTTGAAAATACTGCTGTAGAATATGTATCATTTCTATAAATAAAAAATTTTGAGACTTGCCTAAGCAAGGGACATAGTTTCTTTTACAAAACAAATTACTGAATAATATTTACTTTCTGAAAAAATTTTCTGCAATGCACATCTTATTGAAGGTGAGCACCTACTGCAATTGTGGTGTATGATGCCGAATCATCAGTCAATTTGCTGACAATACAACTGTACTATATTTTTAATGTGACCACTATATCTGACTACTAAAACTGTAATAATTACACTTAAATAAAATTTCAGATTTACTTTTGTGACACAGTGACATTCATCCAAAAATGTGTATGTGGTGTACTTCTGTCTTATTTTATCATTAACCTAGTTTTCTATGTAATTATTTTATTCTTGTCCCCTAATTTCCCAGTATCTGTCTCATTCTTTTCTACATCTTCCCTAAGTTTTCTAGAGACCTACTTTCTGAAACCCCCATCCTACTTACTTGACACAGTAGTCATCCCGGGACTTTCCTTCATTGCATTCCTTTGTGAGAGCTTATGTTTTCAGGATCCCATGCCTTCTTACTTAGATTACTCCTTTGTTTTGGTGAAGCACATCCTCCAGTGGCCTCCTAAGAAAGGGTACATGGTAAGGTAAAATTCTGAGACCATGCAAGTCTAACCTTTATTTTAGTCCCATACTTGGCTGGATTGTCTGGATACAGAATTCTAGATCAGAATTAATTTCTCCCCTTAAATTTGAAGGACTTGCTTTTATAGTCTTCTAACATCCAGTGTTGCTACCAAGAAGTCTAAATGCCATTCTGGAAACATCCTTTTATGTAAACCTTGTTTTTTCCCACCTTGGGAAACCTTTAGGATCTTTAACCCTGGTATCCTGAAATACCATGATGTGCTTTTGTATTTTTTAATTCATTGTGCCAGGCACTCAGCGGACCCTTTTAGTTTAGGAGACTCATGTCCTATGATTTTGGGACATGTTCTTTAGTTTTGTTTCCTCTCTTCATCTCCTGTCTGTCCTCTCATTCTGAGGCTCTCACATGCTGCATCCCATTCTGATCTCTAATTTCCCCTTTTGTTCTTTCCTATTTTCCATCTTTGCCTTTTTGTTCTACTTTCTGAAATTTCTTCAGCTTGTCTTCCAACACACCTATTGAATGTTTAATTTTGGCTCTCCTATTTTTTCCAGTACTTGTATTTTCTGATTGTTCATGTTTTTATAGCATCCTTTGGGAGTTTTATGTTTCCGCATTATTTCGTTTTCTCTCTGGCTCTTTTATTCTGGTATTCATCTTTCACTGCTGAAGGTCTCTGCAAATGTTTAACTATTCTTGGTATCAGTTTATGGTAAGTTCGTCACCAAAAGCCTTGCCTGAATGAGCAGGGCTTGTGGGCTCTGGGTTTCACTGTAACAAATAATCAAGTGGGCAGCTGTTTTTCTAATTGTTCATTTTCCTGGATTGGGTGGACAGGGCTGGGTATTAGCCTGGCTGCCAGATTATGTAGCTGGGTGGACAGAAGGGACTGATGGCTCATAATGTTCAGAATACAGGCATTCTCTCTTCCTGTTTTCAGTACAGCACCTCACTACCACTCTCCCCCAGGTCCCAATTCTAAGTCTAACTAGGACTTTGGTTCAATTTCTCCAGATATAAGCCTCCAATCTTTGGCTAGAAAGGGGTATAGTAGTCACTTGGCTAGAGAAGGAGGGCACAAATAAACTTTCAAATAATCCCCTTGTTTCAAACTTTGCTCCTCACCCTCACCTTCCAGGGTACCTTGTGCTTTAAATCCTTGAGTCTTTTGGGGGTTCTGGAAGGAAAAGATAGGTGATCCAAATTTGTGGACCTTTCCTGCAATGAAGAACAGCTGCCAGAACTGTGCTACTTATCAAGTATTTAAAATTTTAAAAATATTTAATTTTTCCCTTCACTGCAAACATGAGAAAGTAACTGCTTAAAAAACACACAAAAGAAAACAACAAACCCAATCTAGCTATTATTGAGACAGAATTTTAATAATTATAAAAATGTTTGGAAATGTTTAATGGTTATGTGATTATTTTAGCCTAATACAATGTGTCTTTCATAAAAACTCTCATATCTGTAATTGGTCTTCCTTTCTCACCTTCCTATAACATTCTAATCTTGTGTCAAATATGTCAGCCTCCCTCTCCCCCAATCAAGAAATTTGAAGGTAAGAAACCACCACATAATGGACAGAACCATACTGTCCCATGGCAACAATTACATTACTACAACCCAAGCTGAATTAATGCTACCAACACATTTATAGGGCTGCCAGATAAAACATGGGCTGCCAGTTAAACTTCAGAAAACATAATGAAATTTTTTTTCTAGTATAAGTATATCCCATATTTCACTGTTTATCTGAAATTTGGGTGTCTTGCATTTTTATGTGCTAAACCCAGCAACCCAACACATTTAAAAAAATGTTATAACTAGAAAATGACCAACATAAAAAAAAAAAAAAAAAAAAAAAAAAAAAA